GCTGTGGCTCAAGTGGTAGAGTGCTAGCCTTGAGCTGAAGAGCTGAGGGACAGCGCCCAGGCCCAGAGTTCAGGCCCCACGACCAGACCCTCCCCCTCCCCCCCAAACAACAAAAAAAAAAAAGAAAGAAAAAGTGCTTAACTTGATATAAGGTTTTTTTTCTTCTGATATGATTAATAATAAAGTTTTAAATTTGTAGTGGTTCAGTTCATGGGTAGATGTGGTTTGTTTATTTATTTATATATTGGTTTTAACGTTCTTTTTTTTCCTTTTCTTTTTTTTTTTTTTTTGTTTTGTTTTAATTTTCTTGAGAGAAGGTCTAGCTATGTACTTTAGGCTGGCCTGGAACTGAGACTCTCTTTGCCTTCACCTCCTGAGTTCTGGAACTACAGATGTGTGTCACCTTGCCTGGCTAGAAATTTGGTTTAGTTCAGTAGAAGATAAAATTTTGATTACATTTTTACAAAGAAAAGCTTTGTAATTATCCAAGAACTGCATTATATGTGAATGACTCTGCTGGTAGTGTAGTAGGATTTATTCTTCAGAAGAGCTATAATTTATTTTTTTAACTTTTATTTCTTTTTGTCGGTTGTGGGCTCGAACTCTGGGCCTGGGCACCATCTCTCAGCTCTTCAGCTCAAGGTGAGCACTCTACCACTTGAGCCACAGTGCCATTTCTGTTTTTTTTGGTGGTATATTGGAGATAAGAGTCTCATGGACTTTCCTACCCCAGCTGGCTTTGAACCATGATCCTCAGATATCAGCCTCCTGAGTAGCTAGGATTATAGGCGTGAGCCACTGGTGCCCAGCAATTTATTGTTTAAAAGATTGTACTGGGGCTTGTACTCAGGGCCTGAGTGCTGTTCGTTAGCTTTTCTACTCAAGTCTGGTGCTCTTCTACTTACCACAGCTCAACTTTCAGTTTTTTTTTTTGGTGTTAATCGGAGAGAAGCGTCTCACCAACTTTTCTGTCCAGTCGGGTTTCAAACTGCAATCCTCAAAGCTCAGTCTCCTGAGTAGCAAGGATTACAGGTGTGAGCCACTAGTGCCCAGATAGTCTTGGTTTTTATTTTTGCTTTAATGCCTCAGGATTGAAGCAAACACAGAATAACCACTCCTAGTTTTTCTATCTTGATCTCTTTTCTACACTGACCTCGGGCATGATTCTCTCAGGACATAGTTGTTTCCTTTCAAGGCCAGAGGAGAACTTGATGAATTAAAAAAAAAATCTGTTCTTTAGTGATAACCCCCAGTGGTTATAGATGCTGGTTATAGACACAGGTGTTTAGAATCATGTGATTGCATAGCTTCAAGAATAATTTGCTCTCCGTTTCAGGGTGTGAATAACTTTGTACAGTACAAATTCAGCCACCTGCCCTCCAAAGAAAGGCAAACAATCATTGAGTTGGCAAAGATGTTCCTAAACCGCATCAACTATTGGCATCTGGAGGCGCCGTCTCAGCGCCGACTGCGCTCTCCCAATGATGACATTTCTGGATACAAAGAAAACTACACAAGGTAAGCTGGTGATGAACTCTTCGCCTGCAGCGGCCGCACAGAGCATGCAACAGACAGGAAATTACTGTGTTCCTCCGTGAGTGGAAGGTTGTCCAGTTATGATGGTGATTCCAGCCGTTTGGACAGAATGTTTGTATATTTAAGCTTTCCATTCGTGTCACAGTGTTCTAAGGGTCACGAATGGAGATCCTCCATCCAGACCTATGCCATCCAATATGATTGTTTCCTCAGGTGGCACTTGTGAACACTAGAGTGACTGCTTGAGAAGGGGTTAGAGTGACTCGAGATTTCATCTTTAAAAATTCCGTATGTGTATATAAAGTACTTTATTCATGTTCATTCCTAACACTTTCTTCTTCTTCTTCCTCCTCCTCCCCTTCCTCCTCCTCCTCTCTTCCACTTCCTTCTACTCCTCCTCCTTCTCTTCCTCTTTGTCCTCCTCCTTGTCTTCCTCCATTTCTTCCTCTTCTGTGAGGAATCTTGAGATGTGCTCAGGTTGGTGTCTCAAAGATATGATCTTCCTACTTTAACCTCCTAGATGCTAAGACTGCAAGTGAGTGCTACATGCCCAGCTGGAATTGAAAGATTACACATGTGTGTGTGTCACACAACACACATACAGTAACTTTTATATTTTTTATTGTCATAAAGGTGATGTACAGAGGGGTTACACTTACATAAGTCAGGTAATGAGTACATTTCTTTTTTTTTCAACAAAAAAACTTGTTTATTGCTTAGGAAATCCAATAATGCATTCCATATTTAAGAGATCATTCAGTGTCGATAGTGTAGTTGTCATACTAACCAAATACTTTACGACCAAGTAGTTACATGACACTTAACATTTGAAAAGGATTTTATAATAGTAATGCGCTTGCGAAGCTCCAAGAGCTAAGTAATCTGTATTTTTTTTCCAAATTTTTTATTGTGATTAAGTGATTACATAACTTCCCAAATTTCACAGTATTGTGGGATAGTGAAGCTTAGTTAAAGTCACAAACACATTCTAACTTTCATGGGGCAAATTGTCTATTGTGCTCTATAACATTTGTGAGTTCTATGAGCTTTGCAGTACAGTTATTTCTTCCACATTGGGTGATATGTACATTTATTTCTGTTGTTTTGCATAGCGTCAGCTGTTCCCTCCTTCCCACTCATTTCCTCCCTCCCATTGCTGCCATTGAGTTGCTTAGTTCATTTTGGTCAATGTCCAGTGTAGCTGATGGGTCCGGCTGTTGTATGTTTTTCCCTGATTCCCTCTAGTTCTGTGTCATCCTTCTGGTTTCCCTCTGGTGTGCACATATATACTATATATGTGATCATCAGCATGGGGTTATTTAGTAGTGATTCGACCAGATGAGTGGAAGTCCTTTGTTTCTTCAGCCTTGTTAATTTTGACGTATCACCTTACGTTTTGGATTTAACATCCACTTATCAGGGAGACTATGTGCAGTTTGTCTCTGTCTCTTTGCTCTTGGCTTACCTTGCTCAACATGATTTCTTCTAGCTCCATCCATTTCCCTGCAAATGCCATTATTTTGTCCTTTCTAATGGCTGCATAATATTCCATTGTGTATAAATACCACAGTTTTTGGATCCATTCATCTGTGGTGGGGCATCTGGGTTGTTTCCATATCCTGGCTATTGTGAACAGTGCTGCAATAAACATAGAGGTGCATGTGTCCTTGTATACTGGTTCCTGTTGTTCAGGATAGATGCCTAGAAGTGGTATGACTGGGTCATAAGGGAGGTCAATCTTTAGCTTTCTGAGGACCCTCTAGACTGCTTTCCAAAGTGGTTGTATAAGTGTACATTCCCACCAGCAGTGTAATAGGGTTCCTCTTTCTCTGCATGCCCTCCAGCATTTGTCCTTGGCTGACTTGAGGATGTGGGTCATTCTGACTGGTGTAAGGTGGTATGTTAAGGTTGTCTTTATTTGCATTTCCTTTACAACCAGGGATGGTGACCATTTCCTCATGTGTTGCTTTGCCAAGTACATTTCTTTTTGAACAGTGTCATCCCCAGACAGTAACTTTTAAATGGTTGGAGACATGGTCCAAGTGGAACAAGTGCAAAACCCTGAGTTCAAATTGCAGTGCTGAGTGAGCCTATTAAAAAAAGGCCTTTGAAAGCTTTGTTTCCATATGCATGCATTTCTATTTGTAGTGGTAGAGACCAAGCAGGGCTTTGCACATGCAGGCTAAGCACTCTACCCCAGTTACATTTCCAGTCCCAGTAGTTATTATTTCTTAATATTGATCACATGCAGAAACAACAGTATTTGTGATATATTGCAGGTATCAAGTAGCTGGGGTTATAGGTGAAGCCAGTGACACCTAGCCACAATAACTCTCATGAGAGATAGCAGATCTCTCAAAAATATGTCTTTTAACCCTATGGATGAACAATTGACAAGGTTGAATCTTGTCAAAGCCAAACCTCCAAATGCCTTTGCAACTGATAACCCAGAAAATGATTGCTGCATTGAGAAAACAGCATAAATGTGGAGCAGCAGACACACGCCTTCATTCTAGAAATCATGATGAAGTCTTGAGCTAGTGGATCATACCTGTAATCCTAGCCACTTAACAGAACTGAGAGTTAGAGGATTGAGGTTCAGAGTCAGTCTGGGCAGAAAAGTCTGTGAGACTTCACCTTTAAAATAATCAGCAAAAAGCCAGGCTGGAGGTATAACTCAAGTGGTTCAGTCTAAGCAAGCAATTCCTATAAGCATGAGGTCCCAAGTTCAAACCCCAGTACCTTAAAAACAACAGCAGCACAACAAACAACAACAACAACCAAAAACCAAGCCAGGTACAGTATTCAGGAGGCTGAGATCTGACGATGGCAGTTTGAAGCCAGCCTGGGCAGAAAAGTCCTGGTGAGACTCTTAGCTCCAATTAACCACTCAACAATCAGAAGTAGAGCTGTGGCTCAAAGTGGTAAAGCGCTAGCCTTGAGTAAAAGAGCTCAAGGACAGTGCCCAGGCCCTTAGTTCAAGCCCCAGAACTGACAGACAGGAAAAAAAAATTAAAATCAGGATAAAAATATGGGCAGTATTTGGAAATTAGTCAGGAACTAAGTTGTACTTACAAATACTTATGGAATAACAAACGAGGCTGTGAATCACTAGGTTTGTTTTGTGGCTGCATGTCTTCCTAGCTGAGTGAACTTTTGAGAGAGCTTATCTCCTCATTTCTTTGACCTCCCATTTTTTTCCGTCAAAACTTTTGAGCATTAGGTTCCACAGACATGTGGGAGCAGGGACCCAACAGCTTCAGGAAGATACTACTCATTATTTTCTCCCACAGCCTTGTTCTCTAAGTCAGTTCTTCCTGAGATCAGGCTGGTAAGCTACAGCCTTAAGTGGACAGTGAATTGGGAGTATAATTATTTGAATATCACATGTCAGAAGCTAAGATAATAGGGAATGGAAAGATGAAAGAAGAATATTTTACAGCTCAGAATCTGGAGGCAACTCTGAAGATGGAACCGTGGCCAGCCCATGGTGAAGAGATGAGAGGAACGGAAATGAATATGCCCTGATGACTTCTGACACCTGCTGATTTCTAGTGGAACAGAATCCAGAATCCCTATTAATAATAAATGAGAAAATGAAGGTAGATGATAGCCACATCTGAAGGATCAAACTCTACAAGTTAGGAGGGTCAAGGCTCCCTTGCAGAATGAAGACTTACTGCCAGGACTCCATGTGCAAATGGCTCTAATCCACACAGCACCTCAGCATGGTATCTCCCTGATACTAGGGGTCAACACTGGTTAATGTTATTTAAGCTGCAGGCCCCTGGAGGTTTTGTCTTGATGGGTAAGAGAAGCTCAGCATCTCCTGTTGACTCAGCTCATCATTTACACCCTGGTGGCAGTTAGAACAAAGGAACCTAAGACTTCTCATGCTGAACATTAGCATGATAATGGGGTGAAGCTGGATTCTTTGTGGGAAAGGCTGATTTCATTACCTAGCCAACTAGTGAAACTTCATCTTAAAAAGGATCAGCTAGGCATCTGCGACTCATCGACTCATCGTTATAATACTCCAAGCTACTCAGGAGGCTGGGAACCGAGGATCCCAGTTCAAAGCCAGCCCAGACAGGAAAGCCCATGAGATTCTTATCTCCGATGAATCACCAAAAAACCAGGAAGTAGAGCTGTGGCTCAAGTGGTAGAGCACTATCCTTGAGCAAAAAAGCTCATGGACAGTGCCCAGGTCTTAGGTCAAGCTCTAGGACCAGCATGCACACATGTATATGTTGAGCAGAAGTAAAGGGAAAATAAATATTTTAAAATAGAAACTCTATCTATCTATCTATCTATCTATCTATCTATCTATCTATCTATCTATCTATCTATCTATCTATCTATCTATCTATCTATCATCTATCTATGCTAGGCCTCTGCCACATGAGCCACAGCTCCACTTGGAGTCATTGTTCTGTGGAGTAGGGTCTGGCATCATGTACACAGCACTCATACTTGGGCATATAAGTCTAAGAACACTATAAGGGAGTGTTGTAAGGTGAGAAAACAGAAAATTCGCATTTTGAAGGATCGAATCTTGGAGTCTTTATTAAAAGGCAGGTGACTGCAAGGTGGACTCCTGTCTCAAAGACCAGCAGCCAGCAAATACACTTAGCACTGTTAGGAAACTGAGCCACGAAGGCCTGAGAAGAAGGAAAGAACAAAAACAACACCAACAAACCAACTCAGCTCCAATGGAGAACTAAAGTGGGACACCATGGTGACCAGAGAAGAGCCAGGAGAAGGGAGACAGGACACAAACATGGAGACACGTGGCATGGGGTAATGGCCAGCCTGAGCTGGTCTGGGCCTAAACAGGGTCAGGTCACAGGGGGCAGAGTCACAGGAAACTCCCAGGCCCAGGCACTGGACTGATAGGTTTAGTAACCCATCAGCCAAGTGCCTTCCATCCACCTGGGAGGCGAGGGAAGCGAGGGCTTCACCTTCCCCTACCATGAGGACAAGATGCCAGTCCCTGCCATCCACCATGTGGCCAAGGTGGTGGGGGCCAGACCCAAACTCCCTATTTTAGAAGCATGTGAAATAAAACAAGTTGGAAGGCAGAAGGTCTCACTACTACTCTGTATTCCAGTTCAGGATCCCTTATTCAGAATGCTTAGAAGAAGAAATATTTCACATACTATAGGGTTTTGGACTTTTAGAAAGGTGGTTAAGAATTTGCGGGTTGATCATTTGACCATCCCTAATCCGAAAAGTTAAAAACTTTCAGATTTTGAAGCATTTCAAGTTTCAGAGCTGGACTGTTTAGTCTGTAGTAAGCAGCCTTTACTTCTGGGGAACTGTGAGTGTCCGGTTAATTCCTGAAAATGGCAACGTTCATACAGAAAGCAAAGGAACAACATTCAGAGTTTGCAATATTTACATTAAAAAGTTGCATATCCATACAATGATGTAAAAAAATCAGATTTGAACCATCAGTAAATAGCATATAGATGCTATTTTCTATTAGGCGTGCACATTGGAAGGAACTATATCATTTCCTTTCTTTTAAAGTCCTGACATCACTCATTCAGGTAAAAATTTTTCCTAAGATTAAGTCTTTGGAGGAATGTGTGTGCCCATACATTCTCATGCCCTTCTTTGTGTCAAGACATGCAATCACCATGTCAGTTTATTAAAAACAATATCACTCCATTATGGGTATCGACTCAGTCTCCTTATCTTATCTACTATGTACTTGACAGATTATAAAGAAAGGTTAATCCTAGAAATAAAAACAAGGCTGAAAAGCCTAAGTTGATGTCTGTAAAATGACTCAGAGGAAATGAGTGGGAACTGGTTATTTGAACAATTTCACTGGATAATATCAATCTGTGCTGTTTTCCTTCACACTGTGAAGAATGAATGGCCTCTTATGTACTTTTAGATAAAGTGTATGAGTTTCATGATAATATTTATGATCTATAATTTCTGTAGCAGAAATACCATTAGTCTCAGGGTCTCTGGTATCTTTGGACCTGTCAGCAGAGGGAAAATGTTCTTTAGGTTCTAATTCAGCATATAAATGTAGGTGTGAGTCATAAATAAGAGTCTTGTAGACATTTCTGCCTGGCCTGGCTTTGAAGCACTATCCTCAGATCTCAGCCTCCTGAGTAGCTAGGTAGTTGCCTGGCTTGAAAATGGTTACTTTCTGAATTATAGAATATAGTAATTCTATTTCTAGGGTTTTTGTTTTGTTTTTGCTATGAAGATACTTGTTTCTGAGTTGACGGGATACAACACAACACTTAGGATTCTCACTTCAGTATTATAAATATAAAACATTTAGATGTTAGAAAATAGAGACGAGGTGAGAGAAGGAATAGAAGTGGTTAGCAGGGTTTTAAGATTGTGAATTTAGGCAGAGGCAATAACGCTAATCACCATAATAGCTAGGGAAACAGGGGTAATGTACAGAATAAGATTTTAAAAAACCTCAAAACCCAAAACAAGGCCAATGAATACTGCTTCATTCTTTACTGAGGGTTAAAGTTCACGGAGCGCTTCCTGTAATAGCTTGGGCTCAGTTGCTTTCCCTCTTAAATGAGGAGAGTTGGTAGTTTTTGGAAAGAATCCAATGAGTAGAAGAAGGTGATTTGTGTCTGTCTGGTCTCAGGGAGTAAGGATCTATATAATACCCCTTCCTGACAGGATTCCCCTGGTTTGGGGCCACATCTATGACTCGTACTGTTGTATATTATCGCATGTTGCTCTGTCCTGAACTCTTACAGAACTCAAATCTCTAGGAGATGCCTCTCCTCAAAGAAGGTGGTCATTTTTAGAGTCTTCTATTCTCTAGCATGTTATCTGAAGGGGCTTTCTAAGTTGAATGGCTTCTGTGGCCCACATACTCCCTGTACTAAGATCTAAGAACCCCTTAAGGAGCCTCCCCTGTGTTCTGGACATTGTTCCAGCCCTGTGAAAATGTGGAAGTGCATTTTTGACATTGAGTCTGAGTCAATGCAAGGCATACTTGGACCGTGGCAGTGGGAACTTATTCCTTCCTGCATTTATACTGAGTTTCTGACCCATAGTGATATATGAATGCTGAGCAGGCATCTTAAAGAAACTTTACATTTTACTTGGGACTAGGTAGCGGGATTCTGCTTCTCTCCTCAAAGGAGCTTCCTCAGTTTTCTGTTTGTTTTTTTTTTAAAACATAATCATATCATGCAGGTGATTTAGCAATCTACAAACCCAGTGACATGCTATCATTGTGCCTGTTATCTAGGTAAGGAAGTAGAGACTGAAGAACATAAAAATTTCCAAAGCAAGGTAGTCAGTTAAGTTGCAAAGTGGTAATTGGATCCAAGGACTTGTGTGGCCTGGTAGAGTCCGATGTTCCCAATAGACTCAGCTCTAAGTACTAGTGTGTGTGTTGGGTGGGGGGGGGAGGGGTTGAATGTAAGCCCAAGTTTCACTAGCTAGTGACTAGTATCTTGGATCAGCACTGAAGACTTGGTTTTGTCTGCTGTGGTTAGCCATGTTTAGAGTCCGGTACTTGTCTTGACGGTACTTGTCTCTTCTTGTTGCAGATGGTTGTGTTACTGCAATGTGCCGCAGTTCTGTGACAGTCTACCTCGGTACGAGACCACCAAGGTGTTCGGGAGAACATTGCTTCGCTCAGTTTTCACCATCATGAGGCGACAACTCCTGGAACAAGCAAGACAGGAAAAGGACAAACTGCCTCTGGAGAAACGAACCCTAATCCTCACACATTTCCCAAAGTAAGGGGAGAACTCTCCACGTGGTTGGTTTGATTCCATTTAGCAACTTGAGGTTGCCAAATACATATACCAAAGATTGCATAAATAATAAAATCAAGAATGACAGAAAAGCATCCAAAGAGGAGAGAGATAAAGGACCCTGAGTCCCTTTGTGAATCGTCAATGAATCTTAGCATCTCCCATCTTTCCCCCCACACATGGACTGTTTTCTAGAGTGAGCTTCCATTTTGTTTTAGGTGTGTGTGTCCCTAAACTGAGAGCCTGGGCGCTGTCCCTTAGCTTTTTTTTCCTTTTTTTTTTCTCAAGGCTGGTACTCTACCACTCGAGTCACAGCTCCACTGCCAGAAAACCAACATGGGAAATTGGTGACCTGAATGTTTTAGTGTTTTCTGAAGGACTTAGGCCAAAGTTTGAATGTCTCCCTAAGTCATAGTATGATTTCTGGGCATGCGAATATATTCAGTGGCTGTCTTTCAGATGGCCTATATTCCTTTCCAAAATATTAAAGCCATTTTACTTATTTCACCATTACAGTTGCCACATAAGTGGCATTTATATTTTTATGTGATAGTTGTCATTGTGTTAATGGTCAAAGGACAAAGAAGGACCCTCCCACCCCAACATTAGGGTCGTAAAAGAGAAATCCTAATTACTTTGCATAGTAAGTTTTTTTTCCCCCATAGCAAATGTATCTTGCAGATATTTGCTAATTATAGTGTGTTTTGTTCCTTCAACACATAGTTTTGGCATGCTTATGCTATTGAGTTTTCTTTTGCTACTAATGGTAGGGTAAAAACTACCACCCACTTCTCCTCTTAAATCCTTTTTCATCAAATATGACAACATCTGAGACCATTGTGGATTTATACCAACAGCTCTGGCAGTAGAATCACACTTACTGTGGTCTGACGGTACTTATTTGAGTCTTGATCTCAGTTTCTGGGTGAGAGCTAGGACCCACATCCCAGCACCCAGTGACCCCGTGGGGCCTGTGATTCTCTGATGCATGTTTAAAGTTCAGACCCCCCTCTTTCTATCCTTGTATGCTTCCTCTTCTTTAACTAGTCCCTTCCTCCCCCTAATCTACAAATTATTTACAGTTTTCTAATGGCTGATTTCTGTATTTCATTTTTTTTAGTTGTTTTTCTTTTTCTTTCTTTCTTTTTTTGGTCGGTTGTGGGGCTTGAACACAAGGCCTGGGCACTGTCCCTGAGCCTTTTCGTTCAACACTAGCTCTCTACCACTTGAGCCACAGGTCTACTTTCATGTTTTCTGGTGGTTAATTGGACATAAGAGTCTCACGGACATTCCTCTGCAGGCTGGCTTTGAATAATGTTCCTCAGATCTAAGTCTCCTGAGTAACTAGGATTATAAGGGTGAGCCACCAGTGTCCAGCCTGTTTGTTTTGTCTGAACAAAAAAGCTTGGCTGCTGTCCCTCAGCTCTTCAGCTCAAGGCTAGTGCTCTACCACTTGAGCCACAGCACCATTTCTGCTTATGTGGTGCTGAGGAATCGAACCAGGGCCTCATGCATGCAAGGCAAGCACTTTTCCACTGAGCCACCTTCCCAGCCCCTGTTTTGTCTTGAGATGGGTCTTGCTCCATAGCCCAGCCTCCTGAGTGTGGGGTATGAGTTAATAGGCCCCACAGTGTCATTCTAAAAGAAGTAAATGTACAGCTTAAAAAAATGTACGCTGAAATACTTTTAGATATTTCTATTTTTCATTTATGTATTAGAGAAAGAAACTCAGTAAGCCTAGGTGAGACTTGAATATCTACCTGTCCACCTGCCTTCCCTCCCTCCCTCCTGTCCTCCCTTTCTTCCTTCCCTCTCTCCTGCCAGCACTGGGGCTTCATTCAGGCCCACACACTTTGGCTTGGCTTTTTCAGTCACAGATGATGTTCTACCACTTTAGCCATATCTCCAGTTCAGTTTTGCTGATTAATTGGTCCTGGCTAGTGTTGTACCACTTCAACCACACCTCCAATCCAACTTTTTAAAAATTATTTTTTAAAATTTTATTGTAAAGATGATATGCAGAGGGGTTATAGTTTTGTGTCAGGCAATGAGTACACTTCTTTTTGAACAGTGTTTTATTAGTGTACACAGTGAGGGGTTGAACTGAAAGTCTGCCTCATGGCCATCTGGAATTACAGGTGTGAGCCACCACACCTGGATCATTCTTCTTTATGATTGAATACTACTCCATTGTATGTGTCTACTGAATGTTCTTTATCCCTTATCTTTATCTCCCAGTATCTTTTTCCTTTATCCTTATTTCCCATTTGTTATTTCTTCATCATTTGATGGGCACCTAGGTTGATTCTATAGTTTAGCTATCCAGTCCAACTTTTTGCCAGTTAATTGGTCATAGCTGGTGCTCTTCTATTTGATCCATACTTCCAGTCCTGATTTTATACTCTGATTAGTGATAGAGTTTCATTTTTCTAGATAGCTTTCATACTTGAATCCTCAGATCTTGGCCTCTTCAGTAGCTAGGATAACAGATGTGAACCACCAGTACCTGGTTGAGTATCTGTTTCTACCAACATTTCCAGGTGTTACCTATGGGTCCCAAAACTTTGCTTTATAACATGGTGAGAAGATAAAATAATAATGAATTGCCGGTCACAATTCTGTCCTCACTGTTGTATTTGTCAATTTTTGTGTGTGTGTGTGTGTACCAGTACTGGGACTGGTGTGTATGCAGTAGTACTCTGGGACCTGGAAGCTTCTATTTGCCTTTTCATTCGAGGCTGGGACTCTACCACGTGAGCTACACCTCCACTTTTGGCTTTTTTTGGTGGTTAATTGGAGGAGAGTCTTCTAGACTTTACTTCCCCAGCTGGCTCTGAGCCAAGATCCACCGATCTCAGCCTCCTGAGTACCCAATGTTATAGTCATGAGCAACCAGCACCTGGCTTCAGGGTGGGAATTTGACAGTTATTTAATCTCTCTGTACTTGGTCCTTTTCATCTGCAAAGTGCATGTAATAATGATTCTGTTTCAACTGTCCTTATAACAATCTGGTAAATTAATGCACATCAACCCCTTCCAACACTACTTATTGTGTTGCAGTGTATGTGTGATAAGTCAAAATAAATGTATGGGAGGTGTTTCTGTCTTAGAAGAGACCAGAACTGCCCAATGATGTCATCATTTTAGTTCACACACTCTAGGATATTTCTGAATTGAAAACCAGACCCCAATATTAGGGGGATTGTCAAATGTCTCTAGGGCTTTTGCCTCTCTAGTAATACATTAGGGTTTTTTTTTTAATCTTGATTTTATTTTTGTGTCTAGGTTTCTGTCCATGTTGGAAGAAGAAGTTTATAGTCAAAACTCTCCCATTTGGGATCAGGATTTTCTCTCAGTCTCTTCTAGAACCAGTCAGCTAGGAATCCAAACAGGTGAGCTCCCTTCCTTCCTGCCTTCCTTCCTTCCCTTCCTTCCTTCCTTCCTTCTTTCATTTCTTCCTGTTTCCTTTTCCTTTTCCTTTGTGCCAGTACTGGAGTTCAGAAGCTGGGTACTATCCCTTAGCATTCTTGCTCAAACACCTGAGCCATACCTCTACTTTTGGCTTTTTTGGTGATTAATTGGAGATAAGAATCTCTGCTTTGATTGGCTTGAACTGTGATCCTCAGATCTCAGCCTCCTGAGTAGCTAGGACTCCAGGCATGAGCCACTGGTACGTGGCTATAGGCAAATTTCTTTTCACAGATCTCAGAGAGCAGCTAAGAAGGTCCACCTGAAGTGTTAGTTGTAGCTCTCATTGCATTTATTTGTGGTTTTTCATTAGGAAAAGAAACAAAAACCCAAAGGCAAATATTTTCACAAATCTTCCTTTGCATTACTGTTAATGAGGAGAAAGTGAGTATAAACCAAAATCTTGCAGTTATGTCTTTGTGGGAGTGAACTAAATAGTTAAAATAGTAATATGTGCAGGAAGGCATGGCTTGCTCATTACAGTTTAATGGGAAGTATAAAATGCCAGGTCGCTCAGCCTTGTAGCCAAACACTGGCTCTTTCTGAAGCCACTGAAAGGCCCAGCCAATGACTGGATATATCTAGGAATCAGTCTAACTCATCCATAATGTCTGTTTCATGCATAAATTTACTATGAGGGCAATGGTGCCATCGTGAGAAGAGAGTGGTCTTGGGTCTGGGGATGTGAAGTGTTCCCTCCATTTGGCCAGTGGCTTCAAATGACATCTTGTAAGGGAAGGAGACGGCTGCCTTTTTGATCATTGTGGTTCCTGCCTTTGGCATGAATCACACTCAACGGAGCCTGGTAGAAATACCAGAACATGAATTGATAGCTGGCGATGGCACAAGACAGAGGCTTCGCTTTGATATCAAGGTTTGGGTGTTTTGTTTTGTTTTGTTTGAGAACTCTAGTTATTGGTAATATGTTGACTTGCCGATGGTTGTATCCAGGAAAGGTAATTTTATTCTTAAGAAGAATTTTAGGCATAATCTCACTATTTTAAAACCTCATTGTGAAACCCACTAGACACTGTACAACTTGGGGAAGAGAGAAGCTGGAAGGGGAAAAACTTGGGGAGAATAAGGAATGGGGTAACACTGTTCAAACAAAAATGTACTCATTACCTCATTTATGTAACTAACCCCTCTGTACATCACCTTTACAATTAAAATGTAAAAATCTAAAAAATAAAAACTCATCATATCTTAGTATGCCCCAGGAGTTTGTTTGTTTGTTGTTGTTGTTGTTCTTTTGTGCTGATACTGGGGCTTGAATTCAGGCCTGGGCACTGTCCCTGAGCTATTTGCTCAAGACTTGCACTCTACTCCTTGAGCCCCAAATACACTTCTGTCTCTTTGGTGGTTAACTGGGGATAAGAATCTCATAAACATTCCTGCTCAGACTTACTTTGAACCGAGATCCTCAGATCTCAGCCTCCTGAGTAGCCAGGATTACAGATGTATGCCCCAGGTGCCAGGCTACCATGAGTTTTGGCAAACATATACAGTTGGGCATTACTATCAAATATGGTGCAGTTGCATTACTCTGGACAGATCATCTGTAGCCCTTTGTAGGGCATTCATCATCCTACCCCAGCCCTGGCAACCTTTTATCTGATGCAGTCTAGTCTTCCAGAATATCAAATGGAAGAAATCATATAGTATATAATTTTTTTGAGTCCAGTTACTTTCAGTCAGCAAAAACATTTGAGATGTTTGTTTAATTATTATTTTAAAATCTATTGCCCAACCTTGGATATATGTAATCAAATCCCTATAAATCACAGTGCTTAGGGAATGAGGTATTTTGATTTGAATCAAAACCTGTTTTGTTTGAATGTTTGCTACCAAACTTGTCCTGTGTCTTTTTTTACTTTACTTTAGGTCATAATTTCATGTTTCTTATGCTTAAAACCCTTAGTGTGCGCTAAGGTCTTTGTGTGTGTAGTGCTATCTCCTCTTTGTAGAACTGCACAGTCAAGAGTTGACTGGGCATACTGTGTGATTCCTGGAGATGTCCACTGCATTTCTCTTTGGACCTGTGCAATTCACCTCACCTTTGTCCTGATCTTACCAAGCATTCGGATGCCACCTCTCCCTCAGTTGCCTAATTCCTCACCTGTTCCCCAGCAAGCACTAGAGCTCCCTTTTTTCAGAGATTCCTACAATCTTTTGTATGTATGTGTGTGTGGAGGTAAGGGGAGGGGGTGGACTACCAGTACTAGAACTTAAACTCAGAACCTCAAACTCAAGGCCTTGCATTCTTTCTGGGTGTTTTCTGATCGAAGCTGGTGATCTACCATTTCAACCACACACCCCCCTTCCACCTCCCCTTCCAGTTTTTTGGTGGTTAAATGGAGATAAGAGTCTCACGGACTTTCCTGTCCAGACTGGCTTGGAACCACAGTCCTCAGATTTCAGCTTCCTGAGTAGCTGGAGTTAAAGGTGTGAACCATCAGAGCCCAACTTTCCTAGAAACTGGACCATATGTATCCTGTTCTGGGTGGTGAAACATGACTGTACAATGGAACCATCCATGGATATTTGCAATACTGTAAGAGAACATGATAAGCTTAGTCTGGGTTTTTGCTGGACATTGTGGACTTTTTTTTAAAGCTTTAGGTGATTTTATTTTATTTATTTATTGCTAGTCCCGGGGCTTGAACTCAGAGCCTGGGCACTGTCCCTGAGATTCTTTTGCTCAAGACTATTACTCTACCACTTGAGCCACAGCACCTCTTCCAACCTTTTCTGTGTATGTGGTACTGAGGAATTGAACCCAAGGCTTCATGCATGCTAGGCGAGCACTCTACCAATAAGCCACCTTCCCAGCCGGTTGATTTGAATGTGCAAGCATATCTGAGAACTATTGTGTAATATCATACTCATGTTGCCCTAGGTCCATATTTCTCTCTAATATGAATGCAAGTCTTAGATGGTCAGAGGCCCAGTTTTACCACAACAGCAATAACAGATACTGTCAGAGTACTTTGCCTCTGAAACTTCCTCCTGACAAACTCTAGGAAACTAGCATTAATGTCCCTTTTACTTGGAGGACATAGAAGATCAGAGAAGGTTAACAAGTTGCCCTAGACCAGATTTTCTATGAGCTGGCATTGGGTTCCACTCCCACGCCTAGTTCCTGACTCCTGTAGGACATGAGAAGCCAGAACAAGCACTAAGTGCTCTCCTGTGGCGTGGGCTAGTGTTCAGCATCGCCAGCTTGGGGAAAGAATGAGCAGAGAATGAACACTGCTTCCTCCCTCGGGCTTGGAACATCAAAGCTGTTCAGCAGGGTCCACTTAGTTCACTTATTGAGGGCCTCCAGAGAGGGTTGCTTTGTGAGTGAGAACTCCCTTTGATCTGTGCCTGCTCAGAATCTTCCCTGTCTGCTCTGCTTCTGGCCACATGTTATCTGCCATTCCATACACAGGCTGGAGCAGGCAGCGGTGATCTCTGGCTGCATGGGAATTTTAAGCTTATTTTTAGTTATTTTTGTTGTTGCTGTTGTTGTTGTTTTTAAGGTTGTGCCCAGTTAAGCTGAAGAGTACACTTCAGTCTTAACCTGAAGGCTATCAGAAGCAAGCTGTCTTCTGTTTCGTCGTAATTGCAATGTGTTCTCTTCAGGGGCGAGAAGAGTATAATTGTCTTCTTAATTGGCATGTCTGCACATCTGTGCAACTGTGAGAATGACATTTATAATGATGGCTCTAAAGTTTTGCAAGATACTCTTAAGATGCCTTCTGAATCATTCGCGCGCTTCCTCTTTGATAAAATCCATCTCAGTGTACTTTGAAATTCAGAAGGCCTGGGTGCTACAAGGAAAAAAAAACCCCAAAACATATAGCCTGGCACTTAAGTGGATTTTATTTTGGGGGCCTTCCTGGGGTTTGAACTCAGGGACTTGTATAACTTGAGCTACCCCTTCAGCCTTGTTTTATCCCTGGTTGTTGTTGTTGTTGTTTTGTCGGTGGTGGGGGTTGAACTCTGGGCCTGGGCGCTGTCCCTCAGCTCTTCAGCTCAAGGCTAGCACTTTACCACTTGAGCCACAGTGCCACTCCCTCCCCTGGTTGTTTTTAAGATAGGGTTTTGCTGTCTGCCTAGATGTGTGTGCCTGTGCCATACTCTACCTCCTTCCAGACTTCCTGTAGTTGCTGGGATCATAGAGATACCACAATGTCCAGGGAACTCTATGGAGATGGAGTCTCATCAGCTTTCTTGCTGGGGCTAATCTAGTATCTTGATTCTCCCAGTCTCAGCCTCTGCCATTGCTGAGATGACAGGTGCTCCTATGGGTTGAGAATGGGGCTTAATGACATTATCTGCTTGGGCTGGCTTCGTATTGCTACTTGTTTCCCCAGGCTTTATTTTTGATTAATTATGTTTTGCCAGTACCAGGGCTTGAACCCAGGACCTGGATGCTACTGTCCCTTAGCTTTTTTAGTCAAGACTAGTGCTTTAACACTTGAGCCACAGCTCTACTTTGAGTTTTATGGTGGTCACTTGAAGAATCTCAGGGACTTTCTTGGCCTTGAGCCAAGATCCTCAGATTCCAGCCTCCTGAGTAGCTAAGATTACAGGTGTGAGCCCTGTTCTCATCATCTTGATGCTAAGTGGTTTTTGGTTCAAAGATGGCTTTCTGTGGTGTTGGTTTCAGGCGTTCTTGTTTCCTTGTTGCCTATGCACATAGTCATCTCATATTTTTTTCCCCTTTTCTTGGGGCAGTTATTAATCCACCTCCTGTGGCTGGGACAGTGTCATACAATTCAAACTCATCTTCCCTGGAGCAGCCAAATGGAGGTAGCATGAGTCCTGCCTGCAGGTCATCTGGGCTTGAAGCAAACCAAGGTAAGCTCTTAAGAGGGGTAAAAGAGAGGACACCCAGATGGAGAGAATGGATCTGTGATTGGCAATTATTATGACCCCGCCCATCACTTTCCCATCTTTTACTGCCCCCCCTCCCCACCCCCCCACTTTCCTCTGTCACGGAGGATATTGACCTCCATTCCATCAACTCTGTTAGGAAATTAGTTGTATCAGTGGGCATTCACATTTTGTTTTATGTGTATATGATGTGTACCTATCGTTTGCCTTCTAAATTTTGATCTTTGTAGGAGAGAAGAGGAAAATGAATGACTCTCACATTCTAGAAGAGGCCAAAAGACCCCGGGTTATGGGGGATATTCCAGTGGAGTTGATTCATGAGGTCATGTCCACCATCACAGACCCTGCAACCATGCTCGGGCCAGAGGTGAGCAGGGCAAATGGCATCTGGGAGCTGGTAGGCATCTCCTGTTCTTCCAGCCCCTTAAGCTCTCAGGAATGAAGCCTTCTGTTGTCAGCAGAGAATTAGCCTTCTGTCCAGGTTTGCATGGACCCTGGTGGTCCAGGTGGGAAGGGCAGGGTTGGCTAGTCAAGAGATCATTTCCTTCAAAGAATATCACATCACACAGCCTCATGCTAATAATCTCTCACAGTTGCAACCCTTTTTATCTTGATGTATTTCTAACCCAGAAAATGTTACAGACTATCTGTGGTTCAAAACATAAAACAAAACTCTGGACTGCTAGATCCCTCTAGTTGTTAACATTAGGCCCTATTTCACTCTATCTTCTGCTTTTCTCTCTTGTGAACCATTTAGAATGACTTCAGAGTTGAAAAGAGATAAACACTTTACCCTTAGCTTTCATAGGAGCAACGATATTCACTTTCAAAATCACAATGCAGTTAGCACTCTTAGAACATTTAGCTTGGCATATTAGCACTCGGAAAATTTGGTTATAAAGTTTTCTAATATAGGGTTGCAGACTATAGTCCACAAACTGGATCTAGCATTCCAGCATTTTCCTTCCTTCCTTCCTTCCTTCCTTCCTTCCTTCCTTCCTTCCTTCCTTCCTTCCTTCCTTCCTTCCTTCCTTCCTTCCTTCCTTTCTTCCTTC